TACACTGTCTCATCCTGCACTGCACATGTTCAGCTGCTTTCTATTTTTTGGAACTGCCGAATTTGTAGAGGCTGATCTGCTGACAGCCTAAAGATGTAATGCTGCTCAGGGGCTCTGGGCTCCAGAAAAATGGCAGCCCCCAACAAGAAGAAACAGGAGCAATGCCGGAGGCAATTTACGGCACACACTAAATTTGGTAGCAAAACTAATAATGTGGAATGTATATTCCTTGCTAAAGAACAATATTTTTTTATCAAGTTGTTATGGGTGAAGCTCCATTTTAAATTAGATACGCCTCTACAGGGTATTAATGCTATATTGTTCTGCAGGGTATTGATGCTAAGGATGACAAATGATTACAGTAAAGACCTACAGAGTTTTTAAGCTGATGGAATATGATGGATGAATTCTGCATATTTTCGCTTTATTATATTTTAGCACATCATTTCTAAATTCCAAGTAGAATACTGACAAATAGTAAAACATATTCTAAGCCTTTTCAGCTAGGTTTGTTCATGTGTCTTGTCTATATCCGGATCTGTAATAATGATGAGACAGTTATAAAAAGAGTAAAGCATCCTTTATCCAGCTGTTTTATTGTTGTTCAATGTAGGTAGAAATGCTGCAGAAACATGCAGCTAGTTACAGAATGACATCATTGCTATGTTAAACTCACTAATGTACATTATACTGAACAGCTGCTTTACACATTTTATAGATCCATACTCTATATATCCACACAACTTCCAATAGACTGGGGAAACACTTTAAATATTCTACTACTTCCACTAAAATGACCTCAGCTGGTTGTTACTCAGACAAGAAAGTAAGTTACAAGGTAATTACAGTCACGGTGTCTATTGTTATTCATCTGACAGATGGTCCCAAGGGTTCAGAAAATCTCATTATAAATCACTTTCACTGATATTTAATATATGAGAGTGCATTATGATACATCTGAGGCTACAGCTCATGCTGGAAACTTCATGTAAGTTATATGTTCACTCACAGTTTTATAGGAATACCTTGGTTAGAATTAGTCAGTTACAACTTAATTGAAATAACGTTCATTATTTGAAGTATTATTTAGTGATTTATAATTATATAATTTATATGATAAAAATACATACATTATTGTAAAAATTAACATTTACTAAAATTAAAGTGAAACACAATTAAAAAATGACACTGTCATTATTCATTACATTCATATTTTTATCGTGACATTATTCAATGTTAATAATAAAAAATAGTTTGTCATTATTCAGACATCACATTAGAACCAGTCTATGTAACAAATACAGTATATATATATATATATATATACGGTATATATATATTTTTTAAATATAATTGGTGTATGTAGTAAAGTTGCACAGAATATATAAAAACTATATTTTTGCTCACCCATGAAGACTTTGCAAAAAGAAAATTCACCTAGCTAAGTGATTGAGGTGATGTTTTCTTGACTTTAATCATCTAGTCATGCCCTAGCAAAAATCCTGTTTTTTTTTTTAAATTTCCTTCCACAGGATTGGGTATTCTTTGCAAAGTGAACTTTCAAGTGAACAAGCTTTACTTCCTTAGTAAATCAACCCTTATGCAGATCAAGCAAGTTTATAAATATGAATTCGAATTTTCTTTTTTTGTCCTGCTGTCCTTGGAGAGGTACAGTGGTGTCATCAAAGGTCCTGCTAATTGAAATTTCCTTTTATAGACACAGGTCTCTCCATATGTGTTTGACGTGGATATTCCTTAGCTTTGCTCATGATAGGCTAGCAGGCATCAGTAGAAAGCATACACACTTAATGGAATACAGGGATGATTTGTTGTACATGACATGTATGCTTCCTGACAGTTCAATTAAGACATCACTACATAAAATGTGACTAAAACAGTATAGTGGCTCATTCCTAGATTGTAAGCTCGAAAGAGCAGGGCCCTCGAACCCCTTGTGTAGTGTATTGTTACTGTCTTGTCTCATGTTCTGTCCCCCTTGCTACTGTACAGCGCTAAGCATACCCTTTGGCGCTATATAAATACTGTATAATAATAATAATAATCATCATCAGAAATACGAAAGAACATTATTAACTATTACTATTAACAATATTTTATAAACTGCACCTTATAAATTGAGTGCTACTGGTTTTCTTTTATTACCCTGGCTTAATAAATATGCTACACTATGGTCTCTCTTATTCTTTTACACTTTCAAAATGGATAAAGGAAAGTCAGTGGAGGAGTTGCTCCAGTGGATGGAGTTCTCAGATAACGGGTGCTTTTAGAGGCTTTTGTTGATTCAGATGTCATGTTCTGGTGTACTTCTGTGTTGACAGAGTGGGATTGAGCAACACTTTTTTCAATCAAGAGCACAGTGGAAGGATCACATATTTCAAACAGGGAAACACCAGATTAAGAGTCTGAATAAAAATCAATACTTTAAGCTATGTCCAAAATGTTTGAGTTTTTACTTTCCCTTACTTTTGTGGCAGGTCTGTGCAGATAAGGGTTAGTGCAGGAGAGGATTTGCACCCTTGGCCAGTCCTACATATGACCTGTTGAACTGGTGGCCCTAGATTGGGATACTTTACCATCAGATACCAGTAAGAGTGGGACCCAAACTCAGTGATACATGGTGGTCAATATAATTAAAAAGCACAAGGGGCACAATCTAAGTACAGCATTAGTGTTCACCTTTATTAAAAGTGCCAAGTGGTAATTTGCATGGACTCATATGCAATGTACTTGTCAGTAATAGTGTGCTTATCACAGGGAATAATCCACCCTGAGAGATACGTCAGCAGCTGCAGCCAACATGTTGTGAAATGCAATAGAGATGGTTCACTTATCAACCAGGTAGTGTGCTGGGCAACCATGGCGCATGAAACGGAAGTGATGTCACGTAGGGGGATGGCCTGTAATTATAGTAACACATTTCAAAGCTCAAAGGCTTCTGCGTCATGATCAGACCTGAGATCACATTACCCGGCAGAGGGAAGATATCACATGACGAAATACCAAAAAGCAAAGGGAAGCTGATGCTTGAAGATGGAATCTGTACCTATCATGGAAAGACCCTTGAGCCCATTGGTTGTATTTGCCCCCCAGACCAGTGGGTTCCCAGTTCCTCCCTGGATTGATCATTGGTTTACTTATGACTGAGCTGGTAAGAAGACGCATTACAGCCCTATAAAAGGTGGCAATGCTTAAACAGACACCCATGTGCATTAGCCATGGGCAAGAAGAAAAAAAATATTATGTGTTTAGTGTGCTGCACACGTGAAAATATACAGGAGTGGGAAAAATGGAAAACTGGTTTGTCCACCAAAATCAATCATTAACAAAGTCAGGATAAGCAGAGATAAACTGTGATCTCAATTACTCTCTATATTTATGACAGGAGTGTCTTATTTTCAAGGTGGTTGTCAAGCTTCATGCTTTTTAATAAAGTTATATTGTTGAATGGAAGTTTTATTGTGTAAAGCCCAGAAAACAGTGGCTGTTGCAGTGCTTATAAAATGTATTCAGACTATACTACAGCTGCAGACAATAGGGGGTACCTAAAGAGTAGAGTACTGAGCTCTGACACATGAGTGTCTGCACAGAACAAGAAGGCTGAGTCATAAAGCTAACCTGTGTTGTAGATGATTCATGAGCTGGTTGACTGTACATTGAGTCTAGTACAGTTTTTCCATTTGTACACAGAAGAATCATTTGTATGGCTGGTTTCGAGCATCAGTACTAGCTGGTGTACCCTAGAGGATGGTGAATAATGTAACAAGAAAACAGGCTCTGGTAGTTGGCAAAATATTTGCTAGACAGACATTGTTAATAATGTACATCTAAAATATATTATCCAAAATGCAGTTTATCTAAAATAGGAAATACACCTAAAGATGTGCATTGATATATATTAGAAATTGGATGCAATCACAGGACTGTATTTGGTCCTGGGCCCATGATGTCAGGCAACCCAGTTATGACCCAACATAACTGTGTTTGGCAGCTCTGTAATTAAATTAACGTATTCTCTTTAAATTGTAAGGCTTTATTCATACAAAAATATTTTAATCATCATGAAAATGGAATACACCTTCAGTTTTATTTGTTCTTATACTCCAATTGTGGTTTAATGTACCTTTTAGAGTAACTGCAAATGTATATAGGCTACCAATGCTGAATTCTTTGTGGCAAAATAGTTGCTTAGTTATCTCTGACTTTAGTACTGTATATGATAAGGAAAAAGAATGCAGCAAGTAAAGCTAGAACACAGAATCTACACCTCTTTCCAGATTAGGCTCTTCGCATTACAATTATTGATGAGCATGAAAGCCAGACAACTAGCTTTTCCAGAAAACGAGACAAGCAGTGGAAAGCTATATATTTCCCTCAGTATAGGTTTCCTGACAAAAAAATATATACTTTTTTCCATGTACAACGCAGGTAGTCATTATAAAAATTATGATATAAATTAAGTATATGTAAACCAATCACAAAAATCTGTTTAAGCAAAATTATGTTAATTCAATTTCAAAAATAATTTTAACCTCCCAAGCAGACTGATTATGTCAGTATTTCTGTGCTCAAAGCGGTACATTTTTTTTGCATGGAAATATGTATTTTTTTTATTGTAGGCCTGTAATTTTTAGGAATAACTCACTGAAATCTGTCCAAACAAGAGTCTAGTAAACATCCCGGGTATGTTAAAATTTGAAACACGAAATCATAAATTATAATTTAATAAATAATGATAAAAAAATAATAATATAATAATAATAAATTTAATTCAATAATATAATCAAACCAAAAACCCTGAAATTTGAAATATAGCTCCAAGTTCGCATATCACTGAGCTCAGTTGCAAAATTGTTTTCAGTGTCTGATGACGAATTTCCCCTAAAGGGACGCTTTTTGGACCCCATGGACATTTCTCAGTTTCCAGGCAGAAAGAACGGTAAAAAGGCAGGCAGGGCACAGGACAAAGCACTAGGGACAAAATGTATGTGAAATGCTTTGATACAGTAATGTTTTACTATGTGATGTTAGTGTATTTAGTGAATGTCACTTTTTCACATTTTTAAATTTCCCGCCATTCCGTCTCTGTACGTCCTGACGTCGCAGGGAACGGAACCCAGATGCCGGCATCGGCCAGAGGACATTGCCGGGGACACTGCAGGAGGGACATTGTGAGAGTGAGGGACAAGGTAAGTGAAGAAGAGATCCAGGAGCAGCGCTACAAGATATTCCCGAGTGTAGCTCGGGGTTACCGCTTGTGGTGCTGAAACTTTATCCTGAGCTACACTCGGGAATACCTCCAGGGAGGTTAATGTGTTTATATTTGTAGCTTTCCTTAAAAAATACCTGTTGATCCTTCCATTAAAATGTTTGTTTAGGAATTATTGGTTGTAGTGTGATATTGCTCTGTGCCTAATTGTCTCCTAATTACTAGCCTGGGCTGGACTGCACAGGGACTGGTCCATTGCTGTCACCATCTAGAAATCTGCCCTGAGAAAAGTTAAGAAGCAACAGCTGAAGTGCATGCATATAGATAGGATGTTGATACAATCAAAAAGGTTTAAAAAAAAAAACCAAAAAAACAAGTATAAAGAAATGGCCATTTGTTATGATTGCACAGTGCTGTAGCAAACAAAATGTTTGGGTTAGGGTTAGTCTGACTTCATCTGTTGTAATAGTGACTTATCCCTTGCTGAGACCTCTATGTCTGGCCCGTGTAAGCAGATACGGTCACTGCAGACAGTCTTTATCAGATAGCTGAACTCACCAAATACCTTTTCTCATCCAAGAAGGTATTTTATTGAATGCAGCAGGTTAACAGCAGACAACAAGATGTAATAGATGAATGAAAGGACAATATTTGCAGATCAAAACATGGTAATGTGTTCCTGGATGTGAGCAGATTACACGTGGCCTAGAGAAGAGCAGCCATATTCTTTCCAATAAAGACAGAGTGAAAAGGAAATACATCACAAGTGGGAGGGAACATAGGATGGAAGACAGAAAAAGATGGTGCAATAACCAAAATAAACACAAGATGGTAGTATATCAACCAACTACACTGAGGTCAATAAACAATGACATAAGGAAATGGACTATATAAAACCTCAATTCACAGTAATATGAACATTAACCATGACCATGCATTGTGTTGTATTTTCACAACAACAGGTTTAACAGCACAAGGGTTTACATCTACTTTATGTGCAAGGCACCTTTTCCTGCCAACACTTAGAAGATGGCAAGTACTGTATTTTAGATGTATGATTGTAGACCTGTATGAAGCATGTGATTAAAGATCTACCAGTGATTAGTCTAAAACAGTCAAAGGGAGGCATCATAAAATAGCTACTTTTAATAGGGGGGTATAAGGCAGCTACAAGAGCACAAAATACATTTAGTAGAGAACTTGTCAAATAGTAAAAAAATGGGACCTTATTTTGAACATTTTTGAAAATGAATGTGCACTTACTGCTCCTAACACAGTCCCCATAAAGAAAGATGGATATCCCGTTTTTGACCATTGTCATTAAAACTAGAGACATTTTTGCTTAAAACTTGACATTTACATCTTCATGGCAGTTAGAACTTCTGACAACTTTTTTTTCACTGACTGTTAGGGTGACAACAAATCTTTTGCAGATAAAACAGTTCCCGTATATGTATTCGATGTGTATACTTAGCTGTTTGCACTTTTCCTCACCCTCAAATAAGCTAGAAATATATATTTTTTTTAAATTACGAATACATTGTTTAGCTTATTGGGATGAAAGGTAAACTCCACAAATGCTAAATTTCAATTTACACAACAGAGATCCAATCAATAAGGTCGGATGTCCGATTTCGGTAAATGAAGCTCAGTTTCTGGAAGAGTGCTGACCTTGTAGTCTATGTATGGAGTTCTCTGTCACTCCATTCTAAAGCCTGCATGACCTGTTCCAGAAAACAATGCCGTGCTGAATACTTTGTCTGGCAGTGAATCAAGGATTAAACACAGCTTGCGCCGACAGATATGTGAAATCTGCCAGGACTTTTTTTTCCCAAGCATAGGTTTTCAAAAATCCCCTTTAGCTTTAGTGGAAAAATACAGGGAAATTGGACAAAATTTTGCCAAGCAAGCAGGACTTTGAAAAAATACTTCTGGGAAATAAAGGGAAGTTGAAATGAGATCATCACAATATTGTAGACTAACATTGACAATAAGAAAGACCAATAATTTTTAGCTGTATAACTAAAGTACAACTCAAGCCAACAACAAGTAGGATTTTTATGAATGCTTGATACTATACTGGAAACAATGCCCCTATGCCTACTGTAGCACCCTCATGCATAGGCTGTTAGGTAAATTTAGAATGGGGCTTCTGCTGTAGCCAAAACCAGAATTGTTTAGTTTGGTCTGCTCAGAGCTCCACAGGCTTGGAGTTTGAATACCTCCCCCTGACTCTAAGACAAGTGCCTGCAGATTAGGGCAGGAGGATTCAACTACAAAGCCTGGACATTTAATAGAGCCTATGTAAACCCTGGGGAGGTGTGCCCAGATGGTGGATAGATTCCTGTTAAACAGGCAGGAGCCCAGGGGAGATGATTTTTTTCCTGTGTGGGAACGGATCTGTGGGTTCCAGGGCCTGCTTGCCCTGGAGCACTACTGGGCTGGATGCTGGACTTTGTTGGGGACGTGTTTATGGACGGTGTATACTTTGGGATCCTGTGAGTAAAGACTCCTCTCTTGAGCTGGAATTCTTTTGGTCTCAGGCAGTGATACATGGACTGTTCTAGTCTACATTTTGGTACCTGATCCCCAGCTGTGTACATATCAACTGTTCTAGCAAATGAACATTCCCTTGAGAATTGCTGGTGTTACTATCAAGACAGAAATGTCCTCCGTTGGCAATCTGTTCATTTTGATGTATCCCGTTTCACCCCCAAGTCCCCTCCTAAGTTCTATCAGCAATACATTTACAAAAAGACACCCCTAGACTGATTACTGAGCCAGAGTAGATGGATGACCACTGTGTGCCTGGCTGCACTGTTGTTGGACTATTATTATATGATTGCATATTGTAGATAGGGCAGTGTTGGAGATATGGACCATTCTAGTCTGCATTTAAGAGACACAAGGTCATAAACGTCTTGTAGCATTAGGGATTTAGCTGGAAGGATAGCCATGTGCAGAAAAATAAGAAGAGGAGCATTGCTCAGTGAGTAAACGAACTTAAAAAAAAGTTGAAAACCCAGAATCCACTGAACGAACGATGTCAATTGAAAACCCTTTATTATCTTAAAGTGATACTAAACAGGTAAGTGTTAATTGCCATAACTCATTCACAAAAATTATATATATCATGCCATTGTATTTTTTTTTTAATCCTCTAAGTACCTTATTCCTGCAGCTCTGTTGTGTGGTCACATGATCTTCCCTGTTCTTCTGTTACCACAGTATAAGTCTCTCTGCACAGCCCTGATTTTTGTTGTGCCTGTCCCATGACTAAAAAAACAGTTTCAGAAGAGCAATTCAAATTAAATTATAAATAGCAAAATACTTTTTATAGCTCCCTATACAATTTTAATAAACAAGGATGATTGTAACTAGCTTTCATTTTGCTCAGACAGCATCTGCATCCAAGGTTTTCTATTTACTTTACAGGTATTAGCAATTACATTAGATATATTTAATACTGATTTATATTAAAACTAAGCTTTTTTGTGAGTTTCTTAGTGAATGTAAACAATTAGCATATTATATCCTGCCCCCAAAGTGTTTAGCAATAGGAGAACATGGAGGAGGAGGGAGGTGGTCATGTGGGCTGCACAGATAAGAAAAAGGAAGAAATTAAAAACCTAGAAGGAAACTGACATTGAGCATGTTCAATAGAGGAGACCAGCTGGTCTACATAATGTAAGCCTGCAATGGGGACACAGAGGAGATGGGAGGGACAGTTGAAGGCAGGATCAACCAGGTATATTTCACTCTACACAAAACAAATGCCTTATTGGCTTTGTGAGTATGTATACTCTATTATATAACATCTAATGAGAGTTTTTCACAGTCTGGGTTTAATGACACTTCAAACAGAAAAAAATATGTTTGTTTGCTTTAGTAGCAGACATCAGGTTTCTTTGAGTGTTTGAGTGGTCACTTCTCAAAACAAATGCCATTTGAAGCATTTGCACAACATGTCCTCTAATACAATGGGAACATAGACACTATTGTTGTATGTTTGGCAAACGTCAGTTGGCAGTTTGATGCTTCCTCTGTGTTACAGGAATTCAGTAACTGAGGTCAACAATTCTGCATCCAAGGTCAACAAAAGCTTGCCCTTTTTACATATATGACCTATGACATGTATGATGCAACAGTGCCATCTAAAAGTTACATTGGGAAATGTTTGCCAATACAAATTATGTAGTGAGAAAGGATACACCCATCTGGGATTGTCTACCAAAACTTTCCAAATAAAAGGTTGGGAGCATAAGTTGACAGGAGAGCTCCATAATGATAAAACAACAAGGAAGATCTATGCCAGAGGAAAATTCACAGGACCAAAGACACAAGCGTTTAATTTCTTGCAATCGTTTGGAGCCTTCGTTGTCTAGTGAGATTGTGAAGCTGCTGTAACCTAAGCTAGTAAGTAACTTTTGGCGTATTCCTATTGTATAGACAGGTAGTGCTTGTACATGCTTGTTGTATGTATATCTGTCAGTCTTATATTGTATTCCTATAATTGTAATAGTTTGTATCTGCAGCATTGTGTCTAGTAAAAGCACATTAATACACTACAGAGGTTTTATTGCTTCCTTGAGTTTACTGCAAAACACCTGACCATAGAGTAAGATAAACTTAGCATATATAAATTACAGAAGATTTCATATTAAAGCACAGTATCAAGGAACCACCTTATCCATTGTCATAATAATTGCTATAATAAGCAAGATACTGGTGGCTCTAAGTGGGCAAAGCCAAACCCCATCTAAGCATCAGGGTAAATAGAACCCTAGTTTTCATCCTAAAAATCCATGAGGCCTCACTCTTCAATAGTAAATTAAATTTCTCTCTCTCTGTGATAAAAAAAAACCTCTCTCTTTGTTTTTGACACATTATTCAGTAAGCCTTGTCTCTTCTGGACCCGTAAGATTTGGATTGCAAGTCTTCAATACAGAGGCAGAGGGTCATGTCATTTTGGATTCAGATAGGTCATAAATGACAGCAGAAGAAGTGTGCAGACTGGGGAGGAAAAGAGTTGATAGACATAAAAGAGGAGGAACCAAGAAGACAGATTTCTTAGACAGAAGAAAGTGTTGATGGACAAGA